TTAAACCGTGGGTAATGCAAGTAGTGAATTAAATTGGGGTACAATATTTTTAGATTATTCCCTGCTTTCAACATATAACGAGCTTCATCCAAGATCATCAATAAAATTTTATTTGGCAAAAATAGTGACGTAAGACTGTCATTCACAAATCTGGTAATCGTATTGCCATTTGTTTTATCTAACATTTTCAAACTTACTACATACCCTCGACTAGGGAAATTTTCATTTAAGATTCCAACAATTAAACTTGCCACGTATCTTCCACAACTATCGGTTGTTTCATCGACAGCGAACCATAAATAATTATCTTCAATGCGATGTTTAATTTCGTTGTAAACTTGCTGAAACACTGGGCCTACATAATTTTTTCGGAGAGTACTTTCAACCGGAATATGTCGATTGCAGTGTTTTTCAAGGAATTCTTGAAGAGGGCCTTTCTCCAATTTTTTTAAAGGTATATTGGACTGGACCATCATTTTACATAAATCGAAATTAAACTGAAACTGCTCATCTTTTGTGGAAGTAGATGCAACAGATTCATGTATGGTCTGCTGTTCAATTTTAGAAACTTCAAACACTTTCTTCCTTTCTACATGAAGAGTCGTTCTGACATGTTACGTCACGTTATATTTTTTATCACTCTGAATCTAAAACAACGTACATATACAGGATTAACAAAGGAAAATAGATAAAAAAAAAATTAGTGGGCTTACGGTTTTCACACAAGCTCTGCATAATATTTTGTTGTTTTCTAATTTTAATTCTGGAAAATCCCTTATCCACTCATCCGGCGTCGATTTTACATTCGGCGTTCTTTTAAAATATTAGTAATATTACCAAAAAGAACTCAACATGTAACAAGGGAGAACCACGTATAACACTGTACTACGACAGATGCGATGGACTGATGGTTGTGAAATAAACGGTTTAAAAGTTTCCATTAGAAAAATTTTAAGGTAGGTAGTTGGGTACAATAATCCTTTTTTCTAGAAAATCTTCAACGGTCTTGCCGCAAAATGCCGAAAAAGAACATCTGGTTAAAAACTTTAATTCATTATCAACGGAAGTAAGGATTTAAAGTCATAAAATCTATGGAGTATTTTTCCAATCCTATAATAAAATTTTATTACCCTAACGACTGGAACCTATTCACAGAAAGGGTCTTGAGTAAGTGTACTTCAATGGTCAAGTCCAGGTAAAATGCATACGATACGCTACTAGCCGTAACAAGTATTTGTCATCCCGACAAGGCCGGCATTTGAACAAAATATGCATTAAAACTCATATTCGTCGAAAAAAGCATTAAATAAGCATATAAGTTTTTTTATGCATAAAATTGAAAACAAAAGCAATTAAGCATAAAAAAAATGTGCCAAATGACTTCAAATTGTATCATAGTTAAAGATATAAAAAAGTTTTGAAGTGCTTACATTTTTCACAAAAAGCATTAAACCTAGAAATCCGCTCTCTAATTATAATAATTAACTTCAATGCAACGCAAAACATCTCACATATTATCCGTTCACGATCTTTATATTGGAGGGTTGGCCATGAAAATCTAGTGAATTTGTTGGTATTCGATGCAGAAAAATAAAAATTCCCTGAACTTTTTTCGTTAAGTTATGTTTTATTAAATTAAAGGTTAAAAAATATGCCAGAAATATAAACATTGTTGCCGATACTTTCAGTTTTCAGTAGCAATGACCAAGTTAACGGTATCCATTTCTTAGAAAGCATAAAACTTTACGCTATTTAAAACAGTTATTCGACTTTTTTAAGTGTTTATTTCATATGTAAGGAACAAACACTAAAATTTCACATTAACATTGTTTTTATATGAATGGGGGTTCTACATACGACTATTGTCCCATGCCACATTTAGCATCTCATCTTTAAGTCTCAATCATCAGTTCGTTCTGCTCGTCCACTCTTCTTGGAAATGGAAATTTCGACCTTTGTGAACAGCCCATTTTCATATCTTCCAACTTCTTTTTTCACTTTTCTAAGATTACTGAAAGGATTGGTAAAAGACAACAATTTTGCTCTAGTGCTTTGATGGGTTTAGCTCTTCTGAAACATTTTTCCGGCCTTAAATTGAATGATTTATCTATATAGCTATTACTAATGCTTAAGTAAGTGCTCTTTATTTGCTTTTACTAAGTACTTCCAAACGCTTATTAATAACAACGTTACTATACGCCTTCTCCAGGTCCATGAAGAGTTACAAAAAAAAATGAAAATGCTTAAAATTTGGTGCAAAGTGACAACGTGGATGATCTAACTAAAATTATACTTAATTTGTTGTACGTCAGGTAGTTTTTCACATACTACCTTGGTAAATTTAGAACGAAAGATGCGTAAAAATATCACCCCCCGTCAAGCTACAATTCACTCCATTTCTATTATTTCGCTATGAAAATCTGTATCATCACTAGAGAGCGGATTTCTGTCGGGCTAGACAAGGCCAAACTCGGTACGGCTCGTACGGGATGGGAATTCATTGCATTTACCGGCTGCACTTCGTTTATTTGAGATTAGAATAACGCTGCTTCGTTGCACTCTGCTGTTAATTCCAGTTCTCATTTAGTTAGCCGTTTGATTAATAAATCGTTAATTGTATTTATGGAATCAAGTGACAATTAAATTCAGTGATTACCTATCACCCGCTACTGAGTCCCGGCGATGCAGCGCGTCCCCACTAAAATCGTGACGTAGCCCGACAGAAATCCGCTGTCTAATCATCACCGTCATTTTCAAATTCAGGTTCTGAATCAGATTCACCTAGCGAAATAATGAAAGGAGGTATAGATTCGTACGAAAGATTTCCGATATTTTTTCCCAATCTGCCAAATTAAGTTTTTCACAATGTTTACAAAAATTTTGCCACATGCTTAGAGTACATTTTGAAAGCGCCGCAAGCCATAAATTCTCCACCTTATTTTTTAATGAAGGTTGAGAATTTATATGCTTGTTGAAATATTTCTTACAAAATCCCCACGCCATTTCAATTGGATTATACTGACAATGGTACGGATGTAATCTAAGAACTTCATCGTCACTTTCTCTTAATGTCTCGTCTACCAAATATATTTTTTTCTATTGTTTCTGAGGGTTTAATTAAATCCCACAACTGTTTCTTCGAAATTTTTTTGTCAAATTCAACACTGTTTAAATAGCCATTTTTGCATTTCACATTTTTTACTAGAAAAAGTGGTTTATCCAACTGAACCGAATGATACGGTGCATTGTCTAAAACCACCACACATTTTTGGTTCAACTTTGCCAAAGCAGGAATGAGCTGATTAAGCACCCAATTTTGAAAAATTGTCCCGTCCATCGTTTTATGATAGTCTCTATCGTTATTTTTCGAATTTAAAAAATTGTTACAACCATCCAAGAACCCCGTTGAACAACCCGCGTGGAGAATAGTAAACCGTAATCCTTCACTTTTAATTTTGGTGGGATTGCTTTTTAGATCAGTACTGTGCACCCAGCGACGAATGGACGAACAATTTTGATAGATCCATGTTTCATCCAAATACACGAAAGTCAAATTTTCACAAGAATTTAGAAACTGTAAATATGTTCTCAAAAAAGTAATTTTGGCTGCAACGACATGTTTTTGTTCACGTAGAATTTTGCGACCATTTACTTCCCTGTGTTTATAACCCATTGACCTAAGAATTTTGTATAATGTGGTTCGCCCCCCTTTAAATTCCAACTGTTCCCTAGAATATGCCAAAAGAGTATCTACAGTGAAATAGTCGTTTTTTTCATTAAGTTGCCAAATTTGTGGTTGCAGGTCTTTCCGAAACATATAATTTGTTGGTTTTCGCTTGCCAGATAGTGATGTTTTTAAATTTTGGTCCTCTGTTGATAAAATTTTCGCCAAAGTTGACGTTCCCACCTATTAGAAAAAAAATTAAAAAATATTTTACAGCGCATTGTCAATATGCCAAAATCAGTTTATCTTAGAGGGTACGTCACTGCCAAAATCAGTTTTATTTTAGCAGGTACTAGCCCCGCCCACCCACCCTCTCTTCTCTTGGAAGGTATCTCCTTTGCCAAAATCAGTCTTATCTTAACAGCTACTAGCCCCACCCACCTTCTCTTTTCGTAGAGGCTATGTCATTTGCCAAAATCAGTTTTACCTTAGAAGGTATGCATTTGCCAAAATAAGTTTTATCTTAGCAGGTACTAACCCCGCCCACCCACCCTCTCCTTTCTTAGAGGGTGTGTCGCTGCCAAAACCAGTTTTATCTTAGCAGGTACAAGCCCCGCCCACCAGCTCTCTCTTTTCTTAGAGGATATCTCGTTTGCCAAAATCAGCCTTATCCTGGCAGCTACTAGCCCCACCCACCCACCCTCTCTTTTCGTAGAGGATATGTCATGTGCCAAAATCAGTCTTATCTTAGAAGGGACTAGCCCCGCCCACCCACCCTATATTTTCTGGAAAGATGTTATTTGCCAAAAACCGTCTTATCTTATCAAGTACTAGCCCCGCCCACCCACCCTCTCTTTTCTTAGAGGGTGTTATGGGCCAAATTCAATTTTATCTTAGCAAGTACGCAAAAATTTGGCATCATTGAACTTCATTCAAAAACTTAATACAAGGAACTTAATTTTAAATTGCTACATTTATGTGAGAATTTTCGATGTATATCCCTCTTATTTATTTTCATTTTATTCTTTCTATTTCCTCATCACATTTACTATTGTTAATTTATCGTTAATTAGAATTAGCATTAGTCTTTAATAATCAGTTGTGCATTGATATTGTTATTATTATTATTATTATCATTTCTCACTTAGACAACAATCGTAAATCTTGATAATCAGACTTCTTATCGAATCAAAGTGAATACAGTGCACTGTCATTAGCGTTTCCTTATCTCTAAATACCTGAGATAATAGACGTAAAAATCTATAACTGCGATTATTGCCAAATATAAGTGGACAACACCAAAATTCAATTGTTTGAAAAAAAAAAATACAAAGCATACTGTAAAAACATTTATTCTCTATAACAAAAATTGTACAACGACTTCAAAAAATCGCCTGTCCCAAAATTTTGACGAGCTTTGGTTTCAACTGTAAAAAACACTACACGCTTTTAGAAAAAGCGCCTCCGTTCTAAAATTTCTTGAATTTCCTGGAAGCTCTTCCCTTTGGTTTCTGGCACGAGAAACATGAACAGCACGCCGAAGAAGCAGAATCCGCTATACAACCAAAACGTCTCGCCGCTCCCTAGGGCATGTTGCAGATCGGTAAAAAATTTGGTAACAAAGAACGACGTAAACCAACACGCGCACGAAACTATAGACGCCGAGTACGACTTAACGTTGGTTGGAAACAACTCAGACGAGATCGTCCACGTTACCGACCCTAGAGCGACATTGAACATTATAATGAAGACTACTAAGCTCAGAAGCGGCAACCATGAAACGGAACTCACGTCCACACCTTTTCTGTCTTTGAGGAAAAAATATACACCGAAAACTAGATGGGCGATGGTCACTCCTGACAGCGACGTGAACATGAGTGCTCGCCGCCCCCACCTGTCGGAAACAAAAGGAGTGCCAAAGCTTGACACGAAAGTAACTAGGCCGATGATGATGGAAGACACGTCGGATGAAAGACCATTGGCACCAGCCGCGTCGAAAATTTGTTGGGTGTAGTATAAAACAGCGTTGATTCCGGAGAGTTGCGAGATTGCTATTAACATCACGGAGAGGAACAACCCCTTCATGTAGAGTCTGTTTTGGAAGAACTCCCAAATTGACACTGAGGCGCCATTTTCGGCTAGTTCGGCTTGGATTTTTCGGATTTCTTGTTGGACGACGTCGCTTTTGCGACCTCGTAGTGTCATCAAAGACTGCTCGGCGTCTTCAATTCTGTCTTTAGCTATCAAATAGTAGGGGGATTCGGGGGCTATGAATATGAAGATTACGAAGAACGCTACTGGTAAGCAGGTTAAGATAATGTTGAACCAGACTACGGAGATGTAGGGGCCGATGACGTAGGGGATTAAGTTTCCGAAAGTCCAGAAACAGTTTAGGGTTGCTGATAACATACCTCGGTTGGAGTCTTCAGCGACTTCGGCAACGTAAGTCGGGAGGAGGGTGTAACCTCCACCTATTGCAATCCCTCCAAGGAGTCTCGCAAAATAATATAGGTACACAGTTTTGGAGAAGGCAAGAGTTAAATAAGAGATCATGTAGGGAATTGCGATACACAGAAGCGCAACTTTGCGGCCGAATCTCTCCGAAATGTATCCAAAAGGGAAGGGTCCTACGATGGACCCGATGTTTAGTAAGGACCCGATCCATGAACCTTCGTCTTCAGTGATGGGGTGGTCAAACGGGTTAACATTTGAGTCGTTTGAGAATAATTTGGGGAGTATGGGGGAGGTCCAAGTGGCTGCTACATCCCCTGACGTTGCCAATAAGTCGGCTATAATTTTCAAAATTTATTAGTCACACAAAAATTGGAAAAATAATTGTTCTCACCTGTCAGTACCGTTAGAACCGTATAACTCAAAATTTGAATCATGTTGTCACTTTCGGTTCTACGCGTGCATGACTACTCAGGTTTGATGTGCCTCAAACAATCCTATCTTTTCATCTTGTTGATAAGTGGATAGTTTGATTGTTAACTAATTGTTTTATCAATCTTGGAATCTTGTTAACATGTAGGGGCAAAATGATTGCAAACTCAGGTATTTAGCTATTATCCATGATTGATAAATTTAATTGCTTACGGTGTGCGTAGACAAAATTACCAGTCTTTGTTAACATTCCAGTGATTGCTTCCAGCGAGGTCACGAATCCCCTCTACACACCATAGTTACAAGCAAGGTAAAAGTGAGGTTGTCGCGTCACTCAATTCTCGCTAAACTGTGTTATTAATATTTGTGTAACGATAGAATGATTTTTAAGTCAGCAAATCATGCGCATTTTATTAGTTAAGCACTCAGACGATTACAAACGCAACACCGTTTATCGCTCGATTCACTGACATTCAGTTTGTGGTTATAAAGTTCGTTAAATCCGGAGCAGAACAGCTGTTTATGTCTGCGCGCGCACGCATCTAATAGTGTTATTATTATTTGTTTTGTACCGATATTCATGTACGAATGATTCACAAATTTAATTTTAAATTATATCATGCGATAACTTCCGGATTGTAAATAAACTTTGCGATAAACGTAAATAAACACATTTAGTACAGTAAATACGAAACGATAACGCATCGAAAAGTTTCGTGTTCACGGTTGCCTCTGTCGCTAAAATAATATAAAATGTTAAAAAAATACGCATATTGTAAAAACATTTATTCTGAGTAAAAAAATTGTAACACGATTTAAAAAAGAACCCGTTTCTGCTCCAAAATTTCCTGAATTTCTTGGAAGCTCTTCCCTTTGGTTTCTGGTACAAGAAACATAAACAGCGCACCAAGGAAGCAAGATCCGCTATACAACCAAAACGTTTCTCCGCTTCCTATGGCATGTTGCAGATCAGTAAAAAATTTGGTAACGAAGAATGACGAAATCCAACACGTGCACGAAACTATAGACGCTGAGTACGACTTGACGTTGGTTGGGAATAATTCAGACGTGATGGTCCATGTTACGGCTGCTAGTCCAACGTTAAACATTATGATGAAGAGTACTAGACACAGAAGCGGCAACCATGAAACGGAACTCACGTCAACACCCTTTCTCTCTTTCAAGAAGAAATAGATACCAAAAACTAGATGGGCGATAGCTACCCCTAAGAATGACGTGACCATAAGTACTCGCCGCCCCCACCTGTCGGACACGAAGGGTGTTCCAAAGCTGGAACTAAAAGTAACTAAGCCGATGATGATGGAAGATACGTCTGACGATAAACCATTGACACCAGCTGCGTCAAAAATCTGTTGGGTGTAGAATAAGACAGCGTTGATTCCAGATAGTTGCGAAATTACTGTCAACACCACGGAAAAAAACAACCCCTTCATGTAGAGTCTGTTTTGGAAAAATTGCCACATTGACACTGAAGCATCATTTTCGGCTATTTCGGCTTGTATTTTTTTGATTTCCTTGTCGACGACGTCTCTATTGCCACCTCTTAGTGTCATCAAAGCTCGCTCAGCGTCGTCAATTCTGTTTTTAACTATCAAATAATAGGGCGATTCGGGTGCTACGAAGATGAACGTTATGAAAAACACTGTTGGTAAGCAGGTTAAGATGACGTTGAACCACACCACTGGGATATAGGGACCGACGGCGTATGGTATTAAATTTCCGAAAGTCCAGAAACAGTTCAAGGTTGCTGTTAACGTACCTCGGTTGGAGTCTTCAGCGACTTCAGCAACGTACACCGGGAGGAGCGTGTAACCTCCACCTACCGCAATCCCTCCAAGCAGTCTTGCAAAGTAGTACAAGTATAAAGTTTTGGAGAAAGCAAAAGTTAAATAGGAGATGATGTGAGGAATTGCGATACACAGAAGCGCAACTTTGCGGCCGAATTTTTCGGAAATGTATCCAAAAGGGAGAGGTCCTACCATTGACCCGATATTTAGTAAGGACCCTATCCATGAAGCTTCGTCTTCGGTGATGGGGTGGTCAAACGGGTTTACTTCCGAGTCGTTTGACAACAATTTGGGAAGTATGGGGGAAGTCCAAGTGGCTGCTACATCGCCCGATGTTGCCAACAAATCGGCTACAATTTTCAAACTTGTTAGTCAAAAAATGTAAAAATAGTGGTCCTCACCTGTCATTACTGTTAGGACCGTGTAACTCAAAATTTTGAACATGTTGGCACTTTCGGTTCTACACGTACATAACACTAAAAGCTTTTATGTGCCAAAAACAATACTATCTTTTCATCTCGTTGATACGTGGATAGTTTGATTGCTAACTAATTGTTTTATCAGTCCTGAAATCTTGTTAACATGCAGGGGCAAAATGAATTGCAGAATCAGATGCTTAGCTATTTATAATCCGTTAATGATAACTTTAATTGCCGTACGTGTACATAGTAATTACGACTCTTTTTTAACATTCCAGTGATTGCTTCCAACGATGTCACAATATTTTTCTATTGTGCAATATTTTGATTCGGCTGGATTGAGTTTTCCGTTTTAAAGTACGGTTCGTAATGTTATGGTCAGTTTTTAGAATAAAAGTGTTAAGATCAGGTTGATTTTGGTAAATGGCTGAACAATATTTAGAATAATCACTGGAATGAAGAGGGGGTGGGTGGGTGGGGCTATTGTTTGCTTATAAAAGACTCTCTAAGAAAAAGTTAAACTTATCCCCGCCCACCCACCCGTTCTCTCATTGTTTTCTTCTGAAATAAGAAATAAATCTTATAGCAAATAGTATAACAAAAAATTACGATTAGTGTTTTTTTTTAACAGCCTACATTATATTTGTTCCCATTCTGACTCTACGAAAAAACAGCGTGTTAATAAGCCGCCCACCCACCCAGTCTTCATTTCAGTGATACGTTTTGTCTAGTCTGAAATGAAAGGCGAATTTCATGTAGATTTTATACTGAACAGAAATAAAATCGTCAGCCTCTAAGAAAATAAAGGGTGGGTGGGCGAAGCTAGTACTTGCTAAGATAAGACTCATTGTGGCAAACTAATTACCCTCTAAGAAATAGAGGGCGAGTGGGCGGGGCTAGTATTTCTTAAGATAAAGCTAATTTTGATAAATGACTGAACATTATTTAGAACAATCACTGGAATGAACAGGGGGTGGTTGGGCGGGGCTATTCCTTGTTTATAAAGGACCCACTAAGAAAAAATTAAACTTAGCCCCACCCACCCACCTGTTTTCTCATTGTTTTCTTCTGAAATAAGAAATAAATCTTATAGCAAATAGTATAACAAAAAATTATTATTAGTGTTTTTTAACAGCCTACATAATATTTGTTCCCATTCTGACTCTACGAAAAAATATATAATTAACCCCGCCCACCCACCCAGTCTTCATTTCAGTGATTCGTTGTGTCTAGTCCGAATGAAAGGTGAATTTCATGTAGATTTCTTACTGAACAGAAATAAAATCGTCAGCCTCTAAGAAAACAAATGGTGGATGGGCGGAGCCAGTACTTGCTAAGATAAGACTGATTTTGCCAAACGAATTACTCTCTAAGAAACAGAGGGCGGGTGGGCGGGGCTAATATTTCTTAAGATAAAAGCTGATTTTGGTAAAAGACTGAATCTTATTTAGAACAATCACTGGAATGAACAGGGGGTGGGTGGGCGGGGCTATTCCTTGTTTATAAAGGACTCACTAAGAAAAAATTAAACTTAGCTCCACCCACCCACCCGTTTTCTCATTGTTTTCTTCTGAAATAAGAAATAAATCTTATAGCAAATAGTGTAACAAAAAATTACTATTAGTGCTTTTATTAACAGTCTACATTATATTTGTTCCCATTCTGACACTACGAAAAAATATATAATTAACCCCGCCCACCCACCCAGTCTTCATTTCAGTGATTCGTTTTGTCTAGTCCGAATGAAAGGTGGATTTCATGTAGATTTCATACTGAACAGAAATAAAATCGTCAGCCTCTAAGAAAACAAATCGTAGATGGGCGGAACCAGTACTTGCTAAGATAACACTGATTGTGCCAAACGAATTACCCTCTAAGAAACAGAAGGCGGGTGGTCGGGCCTAATATTTCTTAAGATAAGTCTGATTTTGGTAAATGACTGAACATTATTTAGAACAGTCACTGGAATGAAGAGGGGGTAGGTGGGCGGGGCTATTCCTTGCTTATAACAGACTCACTAAGAAAAAATTAAACTTAGCCCCACCCATCCACCCGTTCTCACATTGTTTTCTTCTGAAATAAGAAATAAATCTTATAGCAAATAGTATAACAAAAAATTATTATTAGTGCTTTTTTTAACAGTCTACATTATATTTGTTCCCATTCTGACTCCACGAAAAAATATATAATTAACCCCGCCCACCCACCCAGTCTTCATTTCAGTGATTCGTTGTGTCTAGTCCGAATGAAAGGTGGATTTCATGTAGATTTCATACTGAACAGAAATAAAATCGTCAGCCTCTAAGAAAACAAATGGTGGATGGGCGGAGCCAGTACTTACTAAGATAAGACTGATTGTGCCAAACGAATTACCCTCTAAGAAACAGAGGGCGGGTGGGCGGGGCTAATATTTCTTAAGATAAAAGCTGATTTTGGTAAATGACTGAATCTTATTTAGAACAATCACTGGAATGAACAGGGGGTGGGTGGGCGGGGCTATTCCTTGTTTATAAAGAACTCACTAAGAAAAAGTTAAACTTAGCCCCACCCACCCACCCGTTTTCTCATTGTTTTCTTCTGAAATAAGAAATAAATCTTATAGCAAATAGTGTAAGTAACAAAAAATTACTATTAGTGCTTTTTTTAACAGTCTGCATAATATTTGTTCCCATTCTGACACTACGAAAAAATATATAATTAACCCCGCCCACCCACCCAGTCTTCATTTCAGTGATTCGTTTTGTCTAGTCCGAATGAAAAGTGGATTTCATGTAAATTTCATACTGAACAGAAATAAAATCGTCAGCCTCTAAGAAAATAAAAGGTGGGTGGGCGAAGCTAGTACTTGCTAAGATAAGACTCATTGTGGCAAATGAATTACCCTCTAAGAAATAGAGGGCGGGTGGGCGGGGCTAGTATTTCTTAAGATAAAGCTGATTTTGATAAATGACTGAACAATATTTAGAGTAATCACTGAAATCAAGAGGGGGTGGGTGGGCGGGGCTATAGTTTGCATATGAAAGACTATCTAAGCAAAAGTTAAACTTAGTCCCGCCCACCCACCCGTTCTCTAATTTGTTTCTTCTGAAATAAGAAATAAATCTTAGCGCTTTTTTACTGCCTACATTTTATTTGTTCCCATTGTCACTCTTCAAAAAACATAATTAACCCCGCCCACCCACCCAATCTTTATTTCTGTGATTCATTTTATTTAGTTCGAATGAAAGGTGGATTTCATACTGAACAGAAATAAAATCGTTAGCCTCTAAGTAAATAAAGGGTGGGTGGGCGGGGCCAGTACTTGCTAAGATAAGACTGATTGTGGCAAACGAATCACCCTCCAAGAAACAGAAGGCGGGTGGGCGGTGCTAGTTTTTCTTAAGATAAGACTGATTTTGGTAAATGACCGAACAATATTTAGAACAATCACTGGAATGGAGAGGAGGTGGGTGGGCGGGGCTATTGTTTGCTTATAAAAGACTCTCTAAGAAAAACTTAAACTTAGCCCCGCCCACCCACCCGTTCTTTCATTTCTTTTCTTCTGAAATAAGAATATAGCAACTAGTATAACAAAAAATTACGATTAGCGCTTTTTTTAACAGCTTACATTTTATTTGTTCCCAATCTCACTCTACAAAAAAAACGTATAATTAACCCCGCCCACCCACCCAATTTTCATTTCAGTGATTCATTTTATCTAGTCTGAATGAAAGGTGGATTTCATACTGTACAGAAACAAAATCGTTAGCCTCTAAGAAAACAAAGGGTGGATGGGCGGAGTTAGTACTTGCTAAGATGAGACTGATTGTGGCAAACGAATTACCCTCTAAGAAATAGAGGGCGGGTGGACGAGGCTAGTATTTCTTAAGATAAGACTGATTTTGGCAAATGACTGAATAATATTAAGAGTAATTACTGGAATGAAGATGGGGTGGATGGGCGGGGCTATTGGTTGCTTGTAAAAAACTCTCTAAGAAAAACTTAAACTTAGCCCCGCCCATCCACCCGGTCTTTCATTTTTTATCTTCTGAAATAAGATATAAATCTTATAGCAAATAGTATAACAAAAAATTACGACTAGCCCTTTTTTTAACAGCCTACATTTTATTTGTTCCCAATCTCACACTACAAAAAACATATAATTAACCCCGCCCACCCACCCGATTTTCATTTCAGTTATTCATTTTATCTAGTCCGAATGAAAGGTGGATTTCATATTGAACAGAAATAAAATCGTTAGCCTCTAAGAAAATAAAGGGTGGGTGGGCGGAACTAGTACTTGCTAAAATAAGACTGATTGTGGCAAACTAATTACCCTCTAAGAAATAGAGGGCGGGTGGACGAGGCTAGTATTTCTTAAGATAAGACTGATTTTAGCAAATGACCGAACAATATTTAGTATAATCACTGGAATGGAGAGGGGGTGGGTGGGCGGGGCTATTGCTTGTTTATAAAAGACTCTCTAAGAAAAAGTTAAACTTATCCCCGCCCACCCACCCATTCTTTTTTTCTAAAATAAGAAATACATCTTATAGCAAATAGTATAACAAAAAATTACGATAAGCGCTTTTTTTAACAGCCTACATTTTATTTGTTCCCAATCTCACTCTACGAAAAAAAATATAATTAACCCCGCCCACCCACCCAGTCTTCATTTCAGTGATTCATTTTATCTAGTCCGAATGAAAGGTGGATTTCATACTGTACAGTACAGAAATAAAATCGTTAGAATAAGAACAGGGTGGGTGGGCGGGGCTAGAACCTGCTAAAATTAGACTGATTTTGGTAAACTAATTACCCTCTAAGGAATAGAGGGCGGGTGGGCGAGGCTAGTATTTCTTAAGATAAGACTGATTTTGGTAAATGACTGAACAATATTTAGAATAATCACTGGAATGGAGAGGGGGGGGGGGGCTAGTATTTCTTATGATGAGACTGATTTTGGTAAATGACTGAATAATAGTAAGAGTAATCACTGCCTTTTTTTTTAAATATACGTAGTCTTCTTTTCCCAGCAAGAAATTTAAATGATGTTTAAAATGTTATAACGTAAATTTTTGTAGAGAAATA